TAACGCCGGGCACCCCCAGCCCCCTCCCTCCCCTCGCTCACCGATCACCGTGGGCTCCAGGTCCACGAAGACGGCCCGGGGCACGTGCTTGCCGGCCCCCGTCTCGCTGAAGAAGGTGTTGAAGGAGTCGTCCCCCCCGCCGATGGTCTTGTCGCTGGGCATCTGCCCGTCGGGCTGGATGCCGTGCTCCAGGCAGTACAGCTCCCAGCAGGCGTTGCCGATCTGCACGCCCGCTTGGCCCACATGGATGGAGATGCACTCGCGCTGCGAGTACAGCTCCCAGCAGGCGTTGCCGATCTGCACGTTGCCGATCTGCACGCCCGCTTGGCCCACATGGATGGAGATGCACTCGCGCTGCGGGGGCACAGGGGGGGGCTCGGGCTCAGCTGGGGGCAGCTCCCACCCAAACACTGGTTGCGCCCCGGCTCAGCTAGCCGGAGCCGACTCGGTGCCATCCCAAACCTCCAGCTGAGCAGTGCAGGGGCAGCCCAGGAGCTGAGCTTGCCCTGGGAGGGAGGTGGGGGACGACGACATGCGTTTGGGGGACAGACTGGAGCCACCGTTTGGCACAGTCCTGGGGATACTGGGGGTAACGCCACCCCGCACCAGCCCTCCATCTGCTTCCAAATGGCGTACAGGGAGGACATTTTACAGCCCCGCAGCACAGGCAGGGCGAGGCTGCGCTGCAGGAGGAGGAAGAGGAGGAAGCACACAGCGCAGCAGGAGGAGGAAGAGGAGGAAGAGGAGGAAGAGGAGGAAAGGATTAAATATGTGGAAAAAAAAAAAGGAAGCAACAAGAGGAGGAAGAGGAGAAGGCAACAGGACACAACAGGAGAAAACAGGAGAAGGAGGCAACAGGAGGCCACAGGAGGAGAAGGCCACAGAACTCAACATGAGGAAATGGGAGGAGGAGGCAACAGGAGTAAATTGGTGGAGGAGGAAACAGGAGGCAACAGAAGGAGAAGGAGGCAACAGGCAGAGGAGGAGGCAACAAGAGGCAAATGTAGGCAACATGATGATGATGAGGTAACAGGGGGCAACAGAAGGCAGTATGAGGATGAGGAAGAGGAGGCAACAGGAGGCAATAAGAGGAAACATGAAGAGGAGGAGGAATTGGAAACAAGAGGCACAGATGCCAACAGGAGGAGGAGGAGGAGGCAAAAGGAGGAGGAGAAGAGAACAGGAAGCAACAGAAGGCAACAGGAGGAGGAGGCAACAGGAGGACACAATAAGGAGTCAAAAGGAGACAACAGGAGGAGGAGGAGGAGGAGGAGGAAGAGGCAACAAGAGGCAACAGGAGGCAACAGGATGAAAAATAAGGAGGCAACATGAAAAAAATATGAGGCTACAGGAGGAGGAGGAGAAAGAGGAATCCACAGGAGGTAACATTAGGAGGAGTAGAAGGCAACAGGAAGAAACAGGAGGCAACAGAAGGAAGAGGAGGCAACAGGAAGCATCAGGAGGCAACAGGAGGAGAAGGCAACAGGAAGATGAGGAAGAAGCAACAGGAAGATGAGGAAGAAGCAACAGGAAGATGAGGAAGAAGCAACAGGAAGATGAGGAAGAAGCAACAGGAGGAGGAGGAAGAGGAGGAGGAGAAGGCAACACGTGGCAACAGGAGGCAATAGGAAGAGGAAGAAGCAACTTGAGGCAACAGAATTAAGTAAGGAGGAGAAGGAGGAAACAGGAGGCAAAAGGAAGCAACAAGAAGAGGAGGAAAAGGCGGCAACAGGAGGCAACAAGAGGCATCAAGAAGAGGAGGAGGGGGAGGAAGAGGAGGCAACAGGAGGGAATAGGAGGCAACAGGAGGAGGAGGAAGAGGAGGTGGAAGAGGAGGAGGAGCAGGAGGAAGAAGAGAAGCAGGACATGGCAACAGAAGCAAATAGAGGAGGAGGAGGAGGAGGAGAAGGTAACAAGAGGCAAGAGGAGGAGGCAGCAAGGGGCAACAGGAAGCAACAGGAGAAGGCAACAGAAGGGAAAAGAAGGCAAGAGGAAGAGGAGAAGGAGGACACAGGAGGCAATAGGACGTAACAGAAGGAGGAGGGAACAGGAGGCAATCCCAGCCACGTCCCTGTCCCCGTCCCCGGTCATACCCTGGTCCCCGTTCCCAGCCACGCCCTGGTCCCCATCCCCAGTTGTGCCACCGTCCCCCTGTCCGGCCACTGCCCTGCTTCCTAGTTACGCCCCTGGTCCCTGTCCCCAACCACGCTGTTCTCCCCATCCCGGGTCACACTCTGGTCCCCATCCCCGGCCACGCCCTGGCCCCCATCCCTGGCCATGCCCCTGTCCCCATCCCCAGGGACACTGTCCCCGTGCCTGGCCATGCCCCAGTGCCCTGGTTCCCAGCCACGTCTTGGCCCCCGTCCCCACCGTGGCCTGGTGCCTGTGCTGGCCGCAGCCTGGGGCCCTTTCCCGGCCGTGCCCAGTCCCTTCCAGCGCCTCTTTGTCTATTCGGGCAGCAGGAACCAGCCCCACGGGGCCCAACCGGGGGGGAGAAAGTGCCTGCCCCCAGGACAGCTGGGGACGAGCAGGGACGGGGGATGGGGACGGCAGGGGGACACAGAGGACAAAGCCCTGAGGTAGCTCCCAGCGCAGTTTTTGGGGCTGGGGGGCCCGGACCGAGCGGCAGCTGCTCTGCGGCAGCTGGTTGTT